ACACACACACACACACACACACACACACACATATATATATATATATATATTATAAATTAATTGATTTAAAATATGTTTTTTCGCTACATAGTTCTAACCATGTTTCAAAAATGGAAGCTAAAGCCCCGAATTTAATTTTGTGATTAAATTAAAGACATTATCGTTCCATTTCATCGTCAGAGAAAATTCGAGAGAGAGAGAGAGAGAGAGAGAGATTTTGGCATTAAATAGCCCATATAGGTGTTGTTGTGTCGCTAACCAAAAAAAGAAAAAAAAAATCAACCAACATATGCATACGAAATAAAAATCTACCAGACAAAGTCGTCAGCTTCTTTGGTCCGAGATAGTCACTGTTGATTGGTTGTTCCCGCAACAACTTGCTTCCGGCGATTGGTATCGCGATAATGCAACAAAACACAAACACGTGACATTAATTCTCTTGCATTAAGTCTGTACCACTTACTAGTGCACTTTTAACATAGGGGGGCGCCATCCCATGAAAATATCTGAAAAGTGGTCCGCTGGAGAAGAAACACAGTTCAGAACGGTCACTTTATGCCATTTGTCAACTGTCGTGAGACCTATCTGGCAAAGGGCTTTCTTTTTTTTTTTTTGGTAATTCAGCATCTTGGTGATATGTCAAAGTCTTTCTTGACTAATGTCTAGCTTCAGAACAATGTTTCTCTGATTAATTGTTCAATTTTCTTGAATCACGGCGTCCACTCTTCTCTGATTCAATTCGTGAGTCACTGACGCCATTTTGTTCCTGGTCTTTGCTCAACGCAATCATCTAGCCTCTACCACCGCTTTTTTGGCACATCAAGCCAATTGGGGGAAATTTTTCACATCCATACAACCATCGCCATAAATCATTTTCAGACATCTGCGAATTTCGATTAACTCGAACCATCTAGCCCCAAAAGATCTATCACAGATCCCTGCTTCATGAGTAACCAGGCCGTTGTAATTATGACTAATCGATGCTATTACTCAATACATTTACAGAGCCAACTGTTATTAAGCATACTTGAAAAAGATCTAATATACTTTTATAAATATTGAATTCGATGAGGTACAAAGCTCAAGAGCCACTCAAGGTAGGAGTCTACAATTAAAACCATATTGATGATTAAAGTGTATGATATCAGAGAAAGAAAAGATGATAGGAAATGAAAATAAATAGGAAAGATGACGATTGACCCTTGACCTCTTAAAGTAGAGGTCAAGGTTAAAGTGTTTAGAGAAGTACCCACACGGGAGTCTGTTCCACAAAATGGCAGTTTTGAGGAAAAAGATGTCTGAATAGAACTTTCTTCTTATATTTGCAACACGGAGGATTGATTTGTTTTATTTTTTACGTCTTATCAAACTTTTTACGGCTTATCAACCCTTTGTCGGTGATTAAAAGTTAAAACATTTCGGATTGCAAGTCTTTTTTTGGGGGGGTGTCAATATTGCATTAAGAATTTTTTTGGAATAATGATGATTTTTCTAGATACACGTCATGCTATTTAACCCGTGGCTTGGGGGGAAGCGATGGATTCATTGTTAGTGTGGAAGTGCCATAAAATGTTTTAGTCGTTAGTAACTAAAAGATGGAGGTCATCTGAACATTTGCCATGGTGATAGCGATAGGGTAGCGACAGATGTGCTACGTTTCGTTTGTGAGGCAGACAATGTCATCACCCGCATGGCTGCGTAAACGATTTTGAACACTATGAAGTTTGGAAACTGCAGCTCAGATGAAGTAGTAATACTCTATTGTTGGTCTAATCTGACTCGTTTAAAGCATGGTAGACGGAGTCATATTTTTATGAGTTACTAGCAGTATAACCTGTCTGTTGACCGAGTCTTTCATTACTGGGAATATTTTGCCGTTCAATTGAAGCAGATTCAGTTTAAAGTCAACCCACCTGAAAATCGATATTAGTAACAACAATTGGGTGCAACTGAGGCACATCCCCAAATAGTGGAGGGGGTTAACAATTGGAATGGGGTTTGGCCCTGAAAATTGCCGTTTTTGCGTTCTCAATCTTGCAAGGAAGAAACCTCTCCCATGGAGCGTCATAATAATAATATACGATAATTTTTATTTATAATATAATTTTTTGTTATAGTTCTAATAATCTTTTGCGTTAGATTTTAACTCTCTAAATTGATTGTACGCTGTTTTTTCTAGACATTAAATTTTGCCTTTGATTTTTGCGCAAAGTGTAAAAAATCAGTTTTTTTTCGATTTTTCATCTTCAAGGTTGTAATTTTTTCGAGCCAATTTGAACTCAAAACGGGCACTAAACAAAAAAAAAAATTCAACGAAATCGGATGAAGACTGTGGAAACGCATAGACAGCATCCGATCACACACACACACACACACACACACACACACACACACTCACACACACACACAAATTTTGAGAATTATAAATATAGAGATAGAACGAGCCGACCATTTCTTTTTAGTAATGGAGTGTATACATAAGTTTGTCTGGTCTGAACTTGAAACCCAAAAGACGTCCAAAACCTGGCGTCTCATTGAAAGTGGAAGCATTAATCCTGACCGAAGAAAAGTCAAATTTCTGAGCAGTGATGATAAAAAAAAAGATAAAGATGATAAAAAAAGATACTCGCTTGGTTTTTGAGGTTTACAAAACAGTTGTTTCCCGCTTGAACGGTGATGGCAAGATCAGAGGTGAGATCAGAAGCTAAGCTCCGATCATCTTTGTTTTGAAGAAATGCATTTATAAACAGTAGTATCATCTGCATAGATGTTTAACAATGACTCGAGAATATTCCCAGGCAGATTGTTAATAGAAAAAATTAAAACACACACACACACACAGAGAGAGAGAGAGAGAGAGAGAGAGAGAGAGAGAGAGTAGAACCAAGGGGACAGACAATGTAGACATCTACGTTGATCTTACAAGTTTCACAAAACCACTACTGAATATTAGTTCAATTCATGAGTCGCTGTTTCCGTCTGTGCCAGATTGCGAATTAACACGTCATTTCCCGCCATTTATTACAATCTTAAGCATGCATTTTTTGCATCTTCCACTCATACATGTTCGAACATGTTTTTGAGATTCAAGTTGATCCAACTTCTCAAGTGGAACATACATACAATCAACTTTTCTTTTTTTTTTTTTTTTTTTTTTTTTAAGCATTTCGCCCTACGCAAGGCGGGATTCCCACTAGTGCGCAGGGGGTTACAGAGAGTGAAAGTAAGAGAAAAGACTGGATATAGGGGGATTGCGGAAAGTATAAAAAAAAAAACGCATGGCCGAATGATAGATTTGGAGATGTGTAGGATGAACTCAGGCGAGAAAAACCTTCTGACACGGCACAGAGAACCAACTTTCCTTGCAGTAGATGCAGCTATTGATTCAATGTAGTTGTTCCACCTCAGGTCAGTGGAGAACCTGAAGCCAATAGGGAGAATGAATCGCTTTCGCGAAGTCGAGCATCAACCTTAATGATAAGCGGTTTCTCTATGGTGGTTAAATGAGAGCAGTTTCGTTTTGGAATCTTTCTAAGCATTGCCGGATTTATTATTGCGACAGGAGTAAATGTTAGTGTCGTTTGTATAGATGCCTACTTGAGAGCTGATGACAGCAAGAAGATCATTGATCCGAATCGTGTAGGAGCCAGGATAGAGCCTTGGGGAATGTCGTGCTTGTATGACAGGAACTCGAAGAGAGTCCGTTCAGGACGACCTTCATTTCACGATTTGATAGGAATGATTGCATTAAATCAAATAAGCGTCCTGT